GCGGGAATCAAACTCATGCGGAGGTGGCTTTAGCTTCTCAGTGCAGTGCTTTAACCCGCTGCGCCACCAGGGAGGGCTGTGGTCTCACCTTTTGATTCTAAAAATTCCACTTTGATCTCCCCGATCTTCAGGATCAATGGGGTTTCCTACTGTGGTAAATTTTTGGCTTACCTAATTTTTCCTTTGTGGCTTCTCAGCAATTCTAATTCTACCCAATGGGTAGCCAATTCCTTGGATTAAATTTTTTCACTTTACTTATTAGGAGTGATTTCTGTTTTCCTGGTTGGAGACCTGTCAATTTTTACTTTCATTGGCTTCTAGCATCTCCCTATTTCCCAAAATCACATGAGCTTTTTCCCTCTTCCTTGAGGTTTATAAGGTTCAATTTCTTAAACCTGAAACATGTTTCTCACCTTTTTTCAGATAAACTATTCCTAAAGGTTTTAGCTAAGAATCTATTGGATGAAGCTGCTTTTAGGAGGCTGTCACTCACTCCATCTTATACAGCATGTACTTCATCTTAAAATGCTCAGTCTCAGTCCAGTACTTTTTATTTTGTGTTTCCTCAGTTCCTATAACCTAACTCAGTGTTAATACTCACCAAATGATATTTAAAATGCAGAGCACATTTCTCATAAATTCTGGTGAACTCATGTACTCAATTGTGTGACAATTCCCAGAATTCCTAACTATGCATATACTCAATGATCTACATCCTTCTTTCATTTATGATGGATTTTTTTCAGATCACTCCTTATATTTGAGATTGAAAATCAGAAATTGTCTATTTTTAGTACCTATATCTTCTTAAACTACATGCAACATCTATGCTCTGGTTTTCTTTTTCTCTTTTACTTTTGCCCCAGTGATACATATTTTGTAATATAAGTTTTAAAATGCCTTTAATATATTTAACACTCTAAATTTTTCTACTTTATCATTTAAATGTATTTATTTAAATTTACTTCCTTTATTGAAACTACAAAATAATATGCAAGATATGTAATATAATAGTTTGATGTAAAGTACTCACTTTTTATTGTTTTTTTTTAAAGATTTATTTATTTATTCATACAGAACTAGGGTACAGGCCAGAGGCTCAGGGGCAGTGAGAGGCTTCACCAGAGACAGACTGGGGAGCAGAACAGGCAGATCGACGAAGTACACTGCTGAGGGAAGCAGCGGGCGGGTCAGGAGAGGTCTGGCTCGCCATGTGGTCTCCTCTGGGCAGGCGGCAGGCAGGAATCGAACTCATGCGGAAGTGGCTTCAGATTCTCAGTGCTGTGCTTTAACCCGCTGCGCCACCAGGGAGGGCCACTTTTTATTGTTTTTACACTACGACATTCCCCAACAATAATATAAAGCTACCATAGGAGCCACATATAGGTAGATAAGCACTTGAAATGCAACTAGTCCAAATTGAGACATACACTATGTATAATATACCCACTGGATTTCAAAGATAATGCAAGAAAGTATATACTGTATCTCAAGGATTTTTGTAATAATTACATTGAAGTTATTTTATTTTGGGTATATTAGGCAAAATAAAATAGGTTATTAATTTTTCTAGTCCTTTTACTTTGTCCTGACTTTAAAATAGGTTGCTAGAAATTTTTAAGCCACATTAGTGGCTTGCATTATATTCTATTCAACAACACTGCTTATTGAACTGGCTGGCTAATGAGTAAATTTGTCCGGGTTACAAGATCTGCTTGCTCTTCTGATGCCTGATCCTTGTGCCCTATACATTGCCAGACCAGGTCAACTGATATAACTGTGAAAAATAATAAAGTGAAAAGCCTACTGCTTGCCAGTGTTCATTACTATGAAGACATATAATAATGTATTTCATATTTTTCAGTGAATGGGTCAGGAGGGTCAGTCTGCATATTAGCAGGTAAACTTCTTATTCTCATTCACTGGGGTAGTCATATGAAACGTTAATTTATTTCATCAGATGAGACAATAATACACTGTGAACAACAGAATGCAATCTGGTGCTCATATCTGTTGCAATTTCTTTTCCTCTGTGTAAGATGGAGCAAAATGGCAGAGTTCTGATAGGAATGCTTTTAAAAGTAATAAGGGCACTCAGACTATTCCGTGATAGTGTTCCAATGAGTCAGTACATTTGGTATCAGTCAACTTATAATGCATGAAGCT